CATGTAGATTGGACTGAGAGGAATTTTACTGGTATGTTGTTTACAACTAGAGCAGTGCCAATTTCCAGAATCAATATTTCGATTTGTAGATTTCTAGAACGATGTAGGTGCGTGTTTTGGATTTGGATAAACAAAGCGAATGGAGATAGCATTGTTCCTGATAGAGATGATAGGATGCCGCATGAGTTGGGACCGATTTTGTGTTGCATTAATTTTAACTTTCAATTCATATTTAACATCTTAACGAAATCTGCTCTGTTTTTCTTAATCTGGTGTCCCTTTAGTATTCCTAATACGACATTCGAAGTTCAGTCCAGTTTGCCCTATATATTATTTCCCACACTTGCACAACAGTTTGTGGACACCGTCCCCCTTTTTGCGCAGGAAATGTATTCTATGCTATCGGCGATGCGTTCCGTAGTTCGCTGGCTGTACCATGTCTCACCACGATGTCACCCTTTTTTAGTCTCCTGGCTATCCGTTCCGTTACATTTGAAACAAAGGTAAAGACATATACAATCAATGTATAACCACTTTTCTGGAGTATGTCCTTTAGAAGTCGTACTTGATTCTTCAAATCTTCACCGTCGCATAATCTCCTAACTCTACTATCTCCTACATGTTGTATTGTGGGTGGTGATGTGATTATGCTTTCATGCATCAAATACTCCGTGTTTGAGTTGTCAATTCTTAGTCTTGGTAATACTTCAACAAATTGTAGCTGATTATCATTTTTTTCGTCTATGATGATCTTTATCATTGAATGTTGGATGTTTACATGGCTTACGAAATCCTCTAGCTTTGTTTGCTGTGCTTGCAGATAAAAAAAGTATCAGATGGAAACTCCATATAGAAGTTAGCGATGACAGATGATAATGGTAATTTCATGGCTGCTCCCTCATAATGTGCAATTTCTCCTTTCCAGCGTTCTGGGCTGAACCTCGGTAATTCTGTTTTTGCTAGGAGTTTTCGTCGTAGACCTTTTGTAGCATCTTTTACCCATACTTTGTTCATCACTACGATGCCATTACTTTTTGTAAATCTTTTAATGTTACGATGTAAATTTGTTCTTCTTAGCCTGTTTCCTGAATTCTGTACATGATGCGCAGTAAGCTAGGTTTTTAGATACCTAGTTTGTTTCCATTTTCGATTTTTTTATCTTTGCTATAGTCGTTATTTTTAGGCGTAAAGTGGTGTTATGATTTAATTGCTATATATTGTCAATTTTGATATCTTTTGTGTTTTGATGACCACTGAATTTTGCATCTTTAGATCCTCCGTAGTGACTTAGTATGGCCTTAGTCTCGTAAACTAAGCAACAATATATGTTTGTAATTTAGGTTGGTTCATTCCTTCACTCTCAACTCTTTCATTTATTATTTTAATCAGTTGTCTCTCCTTTTTCGTTTCTGCCTCTAAGTTATCTTAAGGAGCTCGATTTTTGACAGGTTTAATTGTCATTATGACATTTCCACTTGTCACATTGATATTTTGGGCATTAAATAGTTAATTCCACATCACATCAAATAGCTACACATATTTTGAATACGCAACATGTCATTTTGACTTTTAAACATATCTCTTTAATATTTGAACTTGTCATCTTGACATTTTATCTTGTTATTTTGGTATCGTAATTTAGGTTGGCTCATTCTTTCACTCTCGACTCCTTCATTTATTATTTTAATCAGTTGTCTCTCTTTATTCGTTTCAGCCTCTAAATTGTCTTAAGGAGCTCTAATGTTGACGGATTTACTAAGTACTTTGGTTCAATTTGACATTTTAACTTGTCATTTTGGCATTAAATAGTTAATTCCAAGTCACAACAAATAGCTACACATATTTTGAATGCGTCACATGTCATTTTGACTTTTAAACTTGTCTCTTTAATATTTGAACTTGTAATCTTGACATTTTATCTAGTTATTTTGCTATCATAGCTTATCATCTTAATATTAAACTATCTTATCTTCGCCGTTTTGACATTCAACTTCTCATTTTGACATCTTGGCATTAAATAGTTATCATTTTGAGTTTTTACCTTGTGACTTTGACATAGTAACTTTGTCATTTTACATTAAGCTGTCATTTTAACATTTTATCTTGACATTAATTTGTCATTTTAACATTTTACCTTCTTATTTTGACATACCATCTTGTCATTTTGGCATTAAACAATTAATTTGATATCACAACTTACTCGCTCGACTTACATTGAATACGTAACATGTGATTATAACTTTTAAACTTGTTACTTTGGCATTTGAACTTGTCATGGTCACGGTATATCGAGTTTTAAGCTGTCATGTAAATTTCATAACTTGTCATCTTGACATTAAGCGTCTTTTTTATATTTAACTTGTCAAAATGTCAAAAATCTTGACATTAAATTGTCATTTTTACATTTAATCTTGTGATTTTGACTTTACTTTATTATTTTTGCATTAAACAGTTAATTCGACATCACAACCTATTAAGTTGACTTTTCTTTTATGTCCTTATTTTATCACTTCCACATCATAATTTGTTATCTTAACATTAAGCTGTCATTTTAACTTCTCATTTTGACATTTCATCTCTTTATTTTTGCATTAAAAGGTTAATCGTCATCAGAACTTATTAGCTTGACATATTTGGAATGCATAAATTGTTATTTTGACTTTTACCATGTCACTTTACCTATTAAGTATCATTTTGACTTTTTGTTTCTTTAATTTGGTATTAANGAGCGTACCTTAGCGAAGAACTTGCAGTGCAACATTAATTAATGAATTAATAAAAATAATATAAAAATACGCACTGAATTATTCATTTTTGGTTTTATTAAATTTATAATTAATAAATTAATTATAAATTATAATTTATTTTGTGACATAAGGTATGACGTATCCGACAGCTTCGCACGCTTCGATTGAATATTGAGACTGGAGTGGGAGGCGTTTTAGGATAATTTTCCTAAACTGTCCGGGCTCTCCTTATCACTTTATAATTTTGACCTTTTGTTTCTTTAATTTGGTATTAAGCTATTATTTCCACATCATAACATGCCATCTTGACATTAAGCTATCATTTAAACATGTTATCTTGTCATTTGACATTCCAACTTGTCATTCAACGTCACAACTTACCAACTTAACATAATTCGAATACATAACTTTTCCTTTTAACTATTTAACTTCTCACTTTGACATATATGACAACTTGTCACATTGGAAGCTTAAGCTGTCACTTCCATATCATAACTATCTTATTGTACTTGAAACCATATAAGGTTTGTTCCAACAAGCGGTCGGACTCGTCCGTTACTCGTCAAATGCAATCGCACATGTCAAGTGATGTCGTCACATTTCAGCGGATTTCATTGCATTATTTAACTGTGCGATTGCATTTGACGAGTCCACGACGAGTCAAACCGCTGGTTGGAACAAACCTATAATCATCACTACTTTTCTCCGTTGAGCTGGCACCGCCATACAACATACATAGTATGAGATAAAGTTCATCTAATAATGAATTTAAACTACTTAAAGATGGGAATAAGAGAAGAATGAAGCAAAAATAGAAAAAAAATCATAAAATTGTCAATAAAATCAACATTTTAATTAATTGGTTACCAAATTTAAGTTGGTAATGTTAATTATTTTAAAATGTTTCTAACTCTAACCTAAAAAAAAATTTCCAAATGACAGTTAAATGTCAAATTTTTTTCCAAAACCAAAGTAATAAGATTTATAACATTATGTATTAACTTATGTAATAATATAGAATGTATTTAATAGAAGTATCTATAGATATAATACCGTACACACATTCGTACGGCCTTGAAGAGCGCTCAGCTGACGGTATCCGTGACCGTAATCTTGTGTGTATGTGTATGGTGGCGCCACTGCGCCGGTCCTGACAGAATCAGGTAAAGAACCACGCAGTTGTACTTCGACCGTCAACTTTGAAACGTTCATATCGACAATATCCTTTTTTATTATTATTACTACGTGTACTTGTATCGATAAAACTAACCTCATTTTACGAGTACGACGTTTCAATGCGAATTTAGCAACGGGTTAAATTACATAAAGTTCACTCGAATCAGCAAAGTTTATTTTTATTATTACTTGCTTGTATCGGCGGTTTCCTCGTTTCTTTTTCGAATATTATTTATTTTGATTAGATATCCCGTAGCGTTAGTGTTGTTTGTTAATCGATAACGTACCACCTACAGAGTTTTATGTGCGATGAGTTGAAAGTGTAGTTATTGTTACGTTCTTAATTATAGGATATAAAATCGAAAAGGTTAGAATACGGTTTAAATTAAAATAAGTCTATTTTTAAGTGACTTCAAAAACAGTTAAATTGCTTGTTTAATAACGTCAAAGTCAGCTGATCCGTTACGTTTTGGTTTGCGCATAAAGTTCAATTTAAATCAATTGGTATAGTTATTTAGTTGAAGAAGTGGTTGTTACATAATTGATTAATTTTTTTATAACTTACAAATGTTTAAAACGTTTCAAACATAAGACTTAGGATAATCTGTAAAGACACTACTATGACTTCATTAGCGTACAAAGTACCTAATCTTATATAAAAATGTTTTTTTTATTATAAATTCAAATTATAATCCAAAAGATAACCTCAATTTTTGTTTGTATTGTCAAATTTCAGAATGCCAACTTAAAAAAAACTAATTTAATTTTTTTTGATTATGATTTGAATTTTGATTGGGAATTTATTCGATCAATATCTCGTCTACAATGTAATTATATGTCGATATAATATCATTTTCACAACACACACACACCAATTATATCACGCGGCTATTTTGAGTATTCCACACTCGGCTACGAGCTACGAGCCGGTGATTATATAGCGAAAATAGCTGGCTCGCTAAATTGGGACCGGTGCCGTGGAACCACACCGATTCGATCGGATCGACAAGATCATAAGATAAACTTTTCCAAGAAAGAATTTTTATTTCTTTAACAAAGTTTCCTTTATTTTTTTAGGGGTCTTGGACATGGCCGCTACGGAGAATACGATCCGTTTCAGTGTCCACACCCTGGACAAAGCAACCAAAGCTAAAGTCACTTTAGAAAACTATTATTCGAATTTAATAGCGCAGCACGTTGAACGTAAACAAAGGTAAATCATTTTTTTTTAATTCAATCTTTTTCAGGAAGTGTTTGCTTTTTCATTTTGTGCCCCTTGTTTTTTCATTTTGTGCCCCTTGTTTTTTCATTTTGTGCCCGTTACTTGTTTGAACCGTTTTTGAGGTTATAACAAACAAACTGCTTTAAACATCTCATAATTAATAAATTAACTCGTCGCACAAACATCCAAGAAATAATCGCATATAATCAATTTGAGGTAGAGATCATTTCTATGTGATACATCTAAATTTCAAAACTTTAGACTTCACAGTTTTTTGCTCTTATCACTTTATATTACAGGGAAGCACCACATCTTTCGACGATGATTTCAAAATAATGTTGATGTAATATGTTTGTGTTAATAGTTTAGAATTATTATTTTCTAATATATCGAAGCTAATAATGAGAAGATAAACCACCATTGTACCCGGAAAATTATGATAGATTTAAATAAAAAAAAGGAGAAATTAGGTATTAGATGCAGAGCCAAAATCCAAGAAAACAGCAAAATGATTGGTTCAAAGAAGAATGCAAGAGAGCGACGAAGAAAAACAACAGAGCCTACTTTAAAAGGATAAGGTGAAGAACTAGATCTAACATTGAAGAATACAAAAACAGAACGAGGAAGGAGAAGCAGCTAAAGAAACACAATATAATAGAGACTTTAAAGAGATGGAAGCGTTAATATAAAACGAAAATCTTTTAACCACAAAAATGAAGAAAATTAAGGACGCTAATGGAACACTAATTACTAAGAGAACTGACATGCTGAGAAAATGGCGGGACTACTTCAATTGAAGAAGTGAGAGAAACCCTTCAATTTTCAGCATATATTAAATCTCCAGGATCTGACAGCTTACTATAGAAACGTTTTAAACACAGCAGCTACACATTCACAATACACTTCCACAGAGTGTTGACACAAGCATGGTAGGAACACATAATACCAGAATATTGAAACACTGGAATTATACAGGGTCCTGCAACAGTGCGTCAGGCATCCATAGCTCGTATAAAAATTAAGTTAGGAATTTCTTTCAAACGCAGACTTGTACTATATATGTATTTCTGGAAAATATTTTCGCATATACGGGGTAGTCTAAAAAAGTGTGACGACACAAAACGTCCGAAATTTGGAATTTTGGAACAGACAGGAGTAGAATAAGTTGCTGGCACAATTAGAAACAAAATTATGATGTCAATTTTCAACTTACCTTGATCTTGAAACGTATATTTTTAACAAACTGCTGTAATAATAACGGAGGTCAATTTCAAAGTATCTAACGTGGTACATCGCACTGAGAACAATACAATCGCAGTGTTACCACACACATAAAACATCTTCCTCTAACAAGCGCGGTTAAATAGTCGGTATGTCGTTTTGCCTTACACTTCCCTACTCAATATACAAAAAGTAAGATGTATACGACTACGCTAACTATTAAGGATTAATTGCTGATAATACTTAACAAACGTTTGATACTTCATATGGAAAACATACTATGACCTTATCAGAAGAGACTCAGATTTCGTCTATCAGACAGATACTTGAGAAGACATGAATTTGATGTAGACTGCCATTATATCATTGTGGATTCCAAAAAAGGTCCAAAATCCAAAAAGCAATTTTAGAATTTGGGATTCCAAGCATGTCTTGTCTTGCAAACTATTTAACCTTGTCTTTCAGAAGGTTATGCGAGAGTCATAGCTGAACCTAAAAGGGACCATCTATACAAGAAGTGTACAAGTAATGACGTACGCAGACTATAGTGTAGTGATCTAGAGAAGAACGCAACGATAGTTACAAGAAGCATTATTCAATCTAAAGAATGCTCCATTAAGTATGAGATACGCCATAATATGTCGATTTATAAAGAACAAGTTTATAGTGAATTTCCGCGTTTTGTGAATCATTGCAAAAGGCAATAAATAAATTCTATAAGGGAAGTGTTAATTTTTTCCGGATATAATGAACTTTCGCTTATAATTGTACTTTCAGATGAAAAGCACGGGGAATCCCCCAAAATCGAATCGTACGACGGTGCACAGATTTGGGAGTGTCATCAATCTTATGAGAGGTTAACTCTTCGCAATTCAATACTTTCAGATATCGCACCTTTAACACTAAAGTGAAACAATTCAAATAGTGTTTCTAGGAAAACAAGCGGCAATTGATAGAAGAGGGCGCCTTTTTATGGAATTTTATGATTAAAACTAAAAATATTCAATTTTTGGGTTGTGCCACTTTATTTCTAAAGGTGCGATATGTACCACCGGTTTTAGTAAACTTAGGTTATAATGAACTCTTTGACTTGGAAATATAAACATTGACGGTTGAATCAATGGAAGTAGTGGAACTGCCAAAATGACACAACCAAAGAAATAATAAAAACAATATTCATGGCAAATAGGTGCATCCTATCCATGTCCTCATTGTTTAGGTCTCGAAAACTGTTTAGGCAGACAAAATGCAAATTGTTCAAAATGATAGTACGACCAGTATTGACATATTGATTGGAAACATGAGCACTCATCAAACGAGATGAAGAATCACTCGAGGTTTTTGAAATGAGGACGCTGCAAACTATTTTCGGTGGCGTGAACGAAAATGGCCTAAATGGCTTAAGATGAGTAGGACTTGTGTTGAGACTGAAGGGAAAATAAACCTACAAGAAAAATAGTGTTGAATAAACTGGTCGGAACAAGAAAACGAGAAAGACCGAAATTGATTTCTTGACGATATGGAATTTAGATCTAAATATTATAGGAATAAGAGCTTGCAGAAGGAGGACGCGAAATAAGAATGGTTTGAAGGATGTTAAAAAAAACTGTTTTTCAATAAATACATAACATAATAAATTCTTTCCAAAATCTCCTATCCATCATCAGAGTCTGGCGCATCAGTTCTAGTATCGCCCTCTCTTAACATATTGTACCAGGACATCGTTGGTCCTTCTCTATCTTTTTCCATGGTGTTCTACTTTGGCATACTTTCTTGACATGCTTTCTTTATAAATAGCCCCACTATTTATATTACAGGTCTAATATTCAATTGACCTTTGATGGAATCATTGCGGATTTTATCTAACTTCGTGACTCCAAGGACTTCTCATTGCCCTTTCCAATTTTAGTCTTCTTATTGCATCAATTACAAATTTTATAGTCTTCAGCTCCTTCTGTTTCTTATCCTTGCATTACGTGATATGATTGAAACAGTTCTTCAAAATGTAGTTTCCATTTCATTACTCTTTATGGTCTTCGATGTAATCTTCCTGCCCTCTCTAAAATATTTAATAGCAGTGAAAATCGTTTTTAATTGTTCTTCTTACCAAAGTCGTTTCATGTTTTCTGCTTTGCCTGCCTAACTATTTTCTTGACTAACTATTTTCATTCTTCTGTATTGTTTTATTTTGTAAATACTTTTGGAAAGCCATTATTTTCTTTGCTGCTTCAGTAACTCTCAAATAGCTTCCATACATTTTCAAGACATTCATTCTTGGTGTTAATATCTATCTATTTGCTCACCCTACTCCATATAAATAGGTTTCCTCAGAACTACAGGTAATTCGCGGCAACCGTGAAAATCAGGTATTATTAAAATTTTACTTGCGTGAAATACAAATTTATGTGTATCATGTAGAAATGATAACAACAAACATTATCGTAGCCTGCACAAATATTGTTTCAATTATGTTTGTTAATTCTAATATTTTTTGTATAGATTAGCAAAATTAGAAGAATCCTTAAAAGATGAAAGTCTTTCAGAAGAACAAAAAAACGAAAAGCGTCAACAGCATGCGCAAAAAGAAACGGAATTTCTTCGTTTAAAACGATCTCGTCTTGGCGTCGAAGATTTCGAACCGTTAAAAGTGATAGGTAGAGGAGCTTTCGGCGAAGTCCGTCTGGTCCAAAAAAAAGACACCGGCCACGTGTACGCGATGAAGATCCTCCGGAAAGCCGATATGCTCGAAAAAGAACAAGTGGCTCACGTCCGGGCCGAACGGGACATCCTCGTCGAAGCGGACCATCAATGGGTGGTGAAAATGTTCTACAGTTTTCAAGATCCGATCAACTTGTATTTGATCATGGAATTCCTGCCGGGCGGCGATATGATGACGCTTTTAATGAAAAAAGACACTCTCTCGGAGGAATGCACTCAGTTTTATATAGTCGAAACGGCTTTGGCGATCGATTCGATACACAAACTCGGTTTTATACATAGGGACATTAAACCGGATAATTTATTGTTGGACGCTAAGGGTCATTTGAAATTGAGCGATTTTGGGTTGTGTACGGGGTTGAAGAAATCACATAGAACTGATTTTTATAGAGATTTGAGTCAAGCTAAACCGTCCGATTTCAGTAAGTATTTTTTTATTATTCTTTATAACTATTTATTCTATTTTAACCAATTTGAATCATAAACTCAGATATTTGGGGAACAACTAATATTAGAATTAGATACAATAAAATACTAATATTAGAACTAATACTAGCTCTAGAACTAACACAAAAATAAAATACATTTTGACAATGTAGGGAAATAGGTATGTAGCAGTTGGTAACACTGTAACACTTGAAAATAGCAATTTGAATTGACAATTAGCAATTGTTAAAACACAAAATGCATTCACCTGAAAACAATATCGAATTCATTTAGATACAAACATTTACGTAGCGTGTATTGAAAGGTTAATAAATTGATAAATATCTCATTTTGACGTTTAAAATGACATTTATGAACGAGGAAAATTCCTTGCCAACTATTAGTTGATGGAAGGTACCAATATAACAGCAATTAAGTACCTATGTGACATAAAACGTTATCTTGATATTTAAAGTAATTTTTTAAGGCAGGAAGTAGTGAATAATCTTTTAATGTTTTGTTGAGTTCGACTAAGTACTTATATAGGATGTGTCAAGGAATATAGCCAATAACTTCGCCATTTGTGGTTTTAAGGAAAAATGTTTCAAATAAAAAATTCTTTATTATTAATTGTTTTAATTTTCTTGTTTCTTTTCTTATACAACCATATAATTTGATATGTTCATCCGCAATAATATGTTTCGCGGAATTTATCCTCTATCAAAATGTGCAAAAAAAAACATATGCATCTCATTTAAAATAACAATGCTGGTTGCCATAGCAACGAAACAAAAACAATGTAAACAAGCAAATATTTAGAATTTTTTATTTGAAACTTTTTTCTTTAAAACCACAAATGGCGAAGTTATTGACTATGTATATTCCATTTGATACACCCTGTATACCATAATTCGTTAACTGACAACTGACATTTAATCCAGGTTTCCATCTTTTAGTGAATTAATGATTTTTCGTCTTAATAAACCTTATACATGCTCTCCAATAAGTAACTACCAAGAACCCTTACTCAGAAATTTGTTTTCTATGTCTATGTTAATCACAACATCTTTAGCTTCTAATTTATACATGTCGTTTATTAATTGGGCCATGGTAACACCCTTTGTACTAATAAGATAATAAATATTACTGTATTATCATTACAAATCACTTTTTCAATCCACAAAAGCTTCTAAGTTTATATTATATTTTTTATCAATTTATTTGAGGTTATATCAACATTTGCTCTCGAAACCAAACCCTTTCCATCAAAAACTTGACTTCCAAGAAACATTATATGCATTGAAACATTTCTATCTTCATTTTCTTTATCCATATTTTTTTTTATAACCTTAAACTTGTTGCACCGATAATATCGTATTTTGTAACTGTCAAAATTTGTTGCTATCTGTTTTACCGACATTGTTACCAACCCTATTTTATTTTTACGTTTACTAATTCTTTTTTAATAATTTTTTTGTAAAGACTTAATGATCGTTCGTCTTAATAAACCTTATACATGATTTCCAATAAGTAACCACCTTAAAAACCCAAAACTTTCTGCTCTATCGAAAATCATCTTAAGATCCTTTTTAGTTATGTGTCAAATTCACAACATCTTTAGCTTCTAATTTGTACATGTCGTTTATTAATTGGGCCATGCTAACACCCTTTTTAACTAATAATCTAATAAATTAACACAAAAGTTTCTACTTACGTTTATATCATATTTTTTATCAATTTATTTGAGGTTATATCAACATTTACTCTCGAATCCAAATAGTAACCCTTTCCATCAAAAATTTGACTTCCAAGAAACATTTCCATCTTCATTTTCCGTATTTTTTTTTATAACCTCAAACTTATTTGCACCGATAATATCGTATTTTATAACTGTCAAATTTTTGTTTGCTATCTGTTTTACCGACATTGTTACCAACCCTATTTTATTTTTACGTTTACTAATTCTTTTTTAACAATTTTTTTGTAGTTATAACATCAAGTCCAATGGATAGTAAGCGAAGGGCGGAAAGTTGGAAGAAAAATCGAAGAGCATTAGCTTATAGTACAGTTGGAACGCCCGATTATATAGCACCGGAAGTGTTTTTACAAACGGGTTATGGCCCGGCTTGCGATTGGTGGTCGTTGGGGGTCATAATGTACGAAATGTTAATCGGATATCCACCTTTTTGTTCGGAAAATCCTCAAGACACGTATCGGAAAGTAATGAATTGGAGGGAAACGCTCGTTTTTCCCGCTGAAGTACCGATCTCTGAAGAGGCCAAAGACACTATTATTAGGTGAGAATTAAAACAATACTATATTTAAAAACTAGTTTCGTAAGACACGCTTGAAATGCACGAATTCAAGTTGAAAAACGAGTGGCGAACACAAGTGTTTTAATGAATGCAATTTTTTGTAATTCGCGTTTTTATCCTTTTTTTTTAACAAGAATAAAATAAATTTTGACAATGTAGGGAAATAGATATGTAGCAGTTGGTAACACTCGAAAATAGAAATTTGAATTGACAATTAGAAATTGTGAAACACAAAATGTATTCACCTGAAAAAAATGTTTCATGTACACCTCCCGAAATATGAGAAATTGCTCAGAGTTCTATTAAAATACTACTTTCAGAGAAGTCTCACGCAAGGTACGAACAACAGTACGCTAAATTCAGGTTGTCAATTCAAATTGTCACATTGACAACTAGAAAAATTAATGACCCAATGTCACCAACTTGAACTAGTTCCATAAAATGTTACTAAAATCTCATTACAGCATCGGATGCTGTAAGGAGTCTCATTACAGCACCCGTTTGAGTACTGTTATAGCTTTCATTACCATCGCGAACTACAAAAATTAATTTAACACTTAAAATTAATAAAAAAAATTTGTTTTAAAGGTTTTGTTGTGAAGCTGAACGTCGATTGGGTTCTCAAAAAGGAATAGATGAATTAAAATTAATTCCGTTCTTTCGAGGAGTTGATTGGGAGCATATTAGAGAACGACCTGCTGCTATACCAGTAGAAGTACGATCAATCGATGATACGTCTAATTTCGATGATTTCCCCGATGTTAAATTAGAAATTCGTATGTTAATTAGATTTTTTTTAAGCATTGTAATTAATTCTTTTTTTTTTTTTGTAGCTTCAGCCCCAATGACACAAGAAGGTGATGTAACGTACAAAGACTGGGTCTTCATTAATTATACATTTAAAAGGTTTGAAGGGTTAACTCAAAGGGGAACACCGACAAAAAAATAATGCAAATTGAAAGTATTTGTCAAGAAAAAAGGTGAAGAAAAAAGGATAGAAAGGAAGAACGTGTTGTGTAGCTGATTGTTTTATTTGTTTATTTGCCCGCTATTTTTTTTTTGGAGAAAGAAAGTGTTCTAATAGATAATTTAGGGCTTGTATAATAGGTCTGAAAAGATAATTTACGTTTTTTCCTCTTTAGAAATTATTACGAATTATTATAAATATTGATTTTTTTAATTGTAAATTTTTGAGGAGCTGTGAGAAGTGAAGCAGTTAAAAAAGTGTTTGACTCTCTTAGTAAAAAAATAATAACGGTCGTATTTTAATTAGGTATTAATCTTTAAAAAAAAAAAAATTAAAAAAAGCTTTGAAACTTTTTTTTAGTTTTGTCAGCGATTTAGTGTTTATTATTTTTTATTTCTTTTAGCGGTTTTTCAACTGTGATATATAATTTTATTTTATTTTTCATTTATAAATAAAAATCATTTTTATGAACCATAATATTAATTAATTAATTGAGTATCAGTTTTTTTTTGTCTTCGATTATAAATACTTGAAGTTTTGAAACAATCCCATCCAAACCCAACCCAAAATAAAAAATTAAAAGTAATAGAAAAGATATAACATACAAGACAATCTGTACTGAGAGAACTATTTTTCTTATTAAAGTATTAAAATCGAAACCAAAGTATTTATAATCGTTAAAAAGAAAACGAAATAAATTCGCATAGTCCATGAGGCACAAGAGTTTAAATAAATAAATATAACCTTAAATTTGTCTTGTCCTTTTATTATTATTTTTTTTTAGGAGCTTTCGCTCGAAAAATGTGCAAAAATGGTGTCGTAGGAAAAGATTTAAAAAAAGTATTTTTGTCGAAAAGGGAGTGCTAAAGTAGGTCTTTTAAAAATTAAAGTTGCTCTCTGCTACTACTACACAGACACATAAAATAACCTGCAAACACTAGTTAGATTAATTAACGTTATTATTTTTTTTTGTTATTTATTACATAAAAAATCTTGTATGTATTTATAGTTAGTTGGTTTCTTGTAGTTAAAAGAGGACGACTTGTGTACATAATTTGAAGAAAGATGAAAATGTGTATAACGTAAAAAATGGAAATAAAGAAATAAAGTTTATTAAAATATATACGCTTTGAAGAAAATTCTATTTAATTATTTACATCACACCTCAAACTATTTAATGTCAAATTGACATTAAATTTAAGCCGGTAATGTAGATATTTTAACTGTCAAAAATAAAGTTGAAAATATCAAATTAATTTTCGCAATTTACTTTTACAACGCTTATTAATTACTTAATATACTCAATGATTTATTTGTATTGGCATTTTTATGAGGCAAATTTAATTTAGAAAAAGTTAACTAGTTAGTATAAAATATCACTCACTATGTTGCACATTGTTATTGAACTAGAACTAACACAAGACCTAGATAAAATCATTCGAGTTGGGAATTATATCAAAATTAGCAAAAAAATATATTATGCATCTCATTTAAAATAACAATGCTGGTTGCCATAGCAACGAAACAAAAACAATGTAAACAAGCAAATATTGCCAAAAATGCGCCACAATAGACTGCTTAAGTCTGACATCACAGAGGTGGGCAGAGCTTATACTGACTCCAAACAATTTCGTTACTAACCACAGTTGCTAAGATAAATCGCCAAAAATGTCATTTGAAATGTCATCACTTAGTTTATTTTATTTTAACACTAATGGAAAATTGCATATAGTGATTTACCGTTAGCAACGAAAATGTTTGAAGTCAGTATAAGCTTCGCCCATCTCTGCGACGTCAAGGCTTAGGTTGTCTATTAATAAAGAATTTTTTATTTGAAACATTTTTCTTTCAAACCACAAATGGAGAAGTTATTGGCTATATTCCAGACATTTGACACCCCTGTATACCATAATTCGTTGACTGACAACTGACATTTAATCCAGGTTTCCATTTTTTAGTGACTTAACGGTCTTTCGTCTTAATAAACCTTATACATTATCTCCAATAAGTAACCACCAAGAACCCTTACTCAGAATTAAAGTCTCATTTGTTTACAAATTTGTTTTCTATGTCTATGTTGATCACAACATCTTTAGCTTCTAATTTATACATGTCGTTTATTGATTGGTTTCCATGTTGTATCAGTGACGTGGCGGCCTAAGGTTGTCCGCATATCTTGTATTGTGCCCATGAACAGTGGAGCCTCTTGTCAACACAACTTTTTCTTCCATGAATATGCAAAACAGGCAAGCATATATTCACACGGTATGTTATTGAGGAATACTTGCCTGCAACTTTCCCGGTAACCCATTCCTTAAAGCACTCCTATAGCTTCTTTTTGTTTCAGAAACACTTTGCTTGCAGATGTTGATGATCGCCATATTAATATACCATATATGGCAAAAGTAAGCACAATGCGCTGCTTCGTAGGTTGCAGTTTTCCTAAGCATTCGGATGGTGTACATGGCTTTCAAAAGTCAGTTTCTGGTCGAGTAGAATACCAAGGAATTTTATACATCTGTTGCCACCTTCCATCTTGGTGGTGAACTTTAATATTTCTGTTTAGTCTTCGTTTAGTTTTACCCTGTTGCTGTTGAACCACAATTTAGCGCTCTTCATAGTTTCTTCCGTCTTTTGGATCAGTTGTGTCTCTTCCTCGCAATAATTAAGAAACGATGTATCATCGGCGTACTGAAGTATGACATCGTTTACGTTTATTGGCAAATCGTTGGTGTATATTAAATAGAGCAACGGACCAAGAATAGAGCTTCTACCTTCCTGTTTTTATCAATAGCTTCGAATATGCATTCAATCATATGTGACCATTTGTGAGCTGTTAGTCTGGATTTCCCTTTTCTGTAACCGTAATGGCTACCATTCCAGATGTTCCTACATTCAAAATAATTATTTAGACGATCTTTTCCCAGATTGTTGATATAGCAGGTAGAATTGATATTGGTCTGTAATTTTCTAAATTTCCTTTGTCTTTATAAACCGGCGTGATTCTTACTTTTTTAAGAAGATCTGGAAATATTCCATTCGTAAAAGAATTGTTGATCATAATACATATCACGTCAGCTATGTAGGGTATGATTAGTTTTAGCAGTTTTACGGATAGGCCAAAAGCATCTGGTGTCGTTTTGTTTTTTAGATTGTAGACAATTTGTAGTACTTCCTTGTTAGTGGTTGGAAAAAAAAATGACATTACCAAATAAATTTTAAAGTAATTTTAAATTTCTTAGTTTAAATTTAATAATTCGAATCACCCTTTTTGGGTTTTAATGTGCTATGTTTTCTAGTAGACCGGTGAAATGTTCTGCAATCGTGCCGCTGTAATAGACTGAAGGTTTATGTTTAACAGTGTCGCAGACTTAGCGATAGAACCTTTTACCGTGATTACTTCGGGTATATTCTGTAATTGCTATCCATAGTCTATTGCTGCAATAAGGGCTTCTACTGGTTTTATGTATTCATTACAGCTCTTGCTTCTAGTGTCATATTCAGCATTCAAGCCTCTTCTTTTACAGTTGCAGCATATAGCTTGTTTGTCCTTGTCGCAACATTCATAAAAGGAGCGACCACATGTTTTGGTGAGTTTACATTTTTCGGCTATATGTCCGAATGTGTGACTATTATAACAGCGTGAAACTTCCAAAAAGTCTTCTACCCTCTTCGAATAGTAGTCCATATAAATACGACCCTGATTGAGCAATATATTTCTAACTCTTCCGCTTACTTCTACGGCCATATTGAAAACATTTTTCTGCTTATTCCCGGTTCTAAATAATGGTACGCACTCATTTTTTTGAATGTCTTTCGAAGATATATCTCATAAGTTCCTCGTCTGTTATTTCCCGATTTATGTTATATATAATAAGCCTTGGTCTCAGTTTTTTTGGCTTTCTGATTTCTAATTCCTGAATTTCGCCTATTTTTTGTTTTACAATATCGATATCTACCTGACTTCCGTCTTCTATAAGAATTCGGCCTTTGAGCTTCCACAGTCTTGACAATCGGAGCTTATTCATGTTCTCTTCAATACAAGTTATTGCTTTCTTCTTTATGTCTTCACTTCCCAAGTTTTTATCTTTGCTGGATACAATTAATACGTTGTTTGCATCAATACAAAATAAATTTCGGCGTTGGCATAATCTGCCATGATGTTCAATGACTTCAAATGTAACTAATGACAACAATAATACAAACATGGACCAAAAACTCTCAAAATTCCATAGCTTTCTAATAAAAAAAAACTTGTATTTCGTGCATGTTTTAATAAATTTCCCAATATGAGATAAACTACAATAAATAGGTATAGGAATGTTTATAGATAATTTGTAGAGAATTAAATTCCCTTTCTGATAGGCTAAAAAAATATGGGGCGTTCCATTTAAAATTATCGAGTTTCTCGCCATTGAATATGAAGAAACAGTAATTCAATTTTTGACCAACCTGTATAAGATACTCCGATACAACAAATGACAGTCTATTTGACAACATCTGAAGAGTAATCGTGCCAATGTAGATCTTTTTTGAATGAACGTTGGCTGAGATATGGGGTTTTAAAGGAGCATATTGAAATTTATCAAAAAAAGCTTAAAACCAAAATAACTCGAAAACGAAAAACGCTAGGTACCAATAACTTTTATCAAAGTCACCCTATTTTTTTACGTACAATTAAAAGGTGTAATAAAAACTATAGCATTCCATTTAAAATAACGAAGTTATGGTCTATTTCCGGTAGACCGGAAGTGGCGGCGACCTTGAAAATATTTTAGATCGAAAGTTCTAAATGAACAACCCATGCTACCAAAATTTCAAATCTCTACGAATCGTGAAACCTGAAAAAGTTCTAACGAACCAGTTACGTGAGACACCCTGTAAAGTTTTGAAGAAAATTCTATTTAATTATTTGCATCACACCTCCATCAATTACACATAATAAAGCACTTATTAATCAACAGAACAAAGTTCAATATATTTGAAAATAGCACGATTCTGAACCACATCGAACTAAATCAGATCGAGTTTGTTAAAATTAAAATAATTATCAAGTAAATTGATAAGACACTCAACAACAAACGCTTTGTTACTAAACGTTATTAAAGCAGAAATTATTTACGAAAAAGTGTTTTGATTAAGGTAAATTTAGAAATAATAACTAAAATGTATTGTTTTAAGTTAGATGAAACAACCAAAAAGTATGCAGAAAATAATTTAAACGAAACCGAACAAGTTCGAAACGATTATCTTAAATTAATGAAAGATTGGTTAAAGGAAATTCACCCAAAAATACACTCAACAACCGACGATTTATTTTTATTAGCGTTTTTACGAGGATGCAAATTTAATTTAGATAAAACCAAACACAAACTCAACAACTACAATAAAATGAGAACAGAAATTCCCGAATGGTTTTCAAATCGAAATCCAAATCAACCCAATTTACTAGAATTAATTAAACTTGGGGTTTTCATACCACTTCGAAAACTTCACGAGAATCAACACGTTGTAATCATTCGAACAGCAGCTCATAATCCTAAGCTACACAAACAAGACGATGTTTTTAAAACGGGAATGATGATCTTGGACTTGTTAGGACACCAAAATGAAATGTTACAAATCTATGGGATAATTGCAATTTTTGATATGAAAGGGATATCTTTATCACATGCTAAACAACTACCACCATCAATGATTAAAAAAGCAGTCTTCTCCTGGCAAAATTATCACTGTAGGCCGAAACAACTCGAATTTATTAACGCCCCAACATACATCAACGTCGTATTAAACGTTTTTAAACGATTTATGAGCGAAAAATTAAAAGGAAGAATTCGAGTTCATTTTTATGGTTATGAAACATTACACAAAGTCGTTTCTAAAGATGTTTTACCTATGGAGTATGGAGGAAATAATGGTGAATTAAAAGATCACATCGAGTATTGGACGGAGAGAATTTTAGAATCTTCAGAATGGTTTAAATTAAATTGAAGAAAATTTTTAGGTTATGTTTGTATACAACGTCAAATTGACATTAAATTTAAGCCGGTAATGTAGATATCTAAAGTGTCAAAAATAAAATTTTAAAATACTAAATTAATTTTCGCAATTTACTTTTATAATGCGTATTAATTACTTTAATGAATGAAAAATTGGTTAAAAGAAACTCACCCAAAAATTCACTCAACAATCAATTATTTAGTTGTATTAGCTTTTTTACGAGGATGCAAATTTAATTTAAAAAACCAAACAAACTCAACAACTACAATAAAATGCAAGCTGAAATTCCGGAATGATTTTTAAATCGAAATCCGAATCAACTTAATATACTAGAGTTAATTAAACTTGGAGTTTTTCTAGCACTTTGAATCTATAAGATAAATTGCAATTTTTGATATGAAAGGGATATTTTTATCGCACGCTAAACAACTACCACCATTAATGATTAAAAAAGCAGTTTTCACCTGGCAACATTATCACTGTAGGCCGAAATTCGAGTTCATTTTTATGGTTATGAAACATTACACAAAATCGGTTCTAAAGATGTTTTACCTATGGAGTATGGAGAAAATAATGGTCAATTAAAAAATCACATCGATTATAGGACGGAGAGAATTTTAGAATCTTCAAAATGGTTAAAATTAGATTAAAAAACTTTTTTAGGTTATGTTTATATTCGCCATCAAATTTAAGTCAGTAATGTAGATACTGTCAAAAATAAAGTTGTAAAAAATCAAATTAATTTTCGCAATTTACTTTTATAAAGCGTATTAATTACTTAAAATGAATGAAAAATTGGTTAAAAGTAATTCACCCATTCATGGTGAATGTAAACATAAACATTCACCATCAAATTTATGTCGGTAATGTAGATATTCAAACTGTCAAAAATTAAGTTGAATGCGTATTAATTACTTTAAAGTGAATTAAAAATTGGTTAAAAGAAATTCACCCAAAAATATCCTCAACAATCAACGATTTATTTGTATTAGCATTTTTATGAGGATGCAAATTTAATTTAGAAAAAGTTAGCTAGTTAGTATAAAATATCATTATTTGCACATTTTTATTGAACTAACACTAGCACTATCGTCGTGAGAGACGTGCAGCTAAACCCTAATATTTATAGTTCTCAGTCTAATGTTAGTTCTAGTTTTACACTATCACTAGAACTAACACAAGACCTAGAACTAGAATCATTCAGGTTTAGCCGTCTTAAGAGACGTGTGACTAAACCCGAATGTTTCTAGTTCTCGATCTAGTGTTAGTTCTAGTTTTATACTAGCACTATCACTAGAACTAATACAAGACCTAGAACTAAAATAATTCGAATTTAGCCGTCTTGAGATTAACTTTACCAGGAGGTGAATATACAATTATTCTTACAAGTAAGTCTTATTCTGTGAAGTAACACTAACAGACACTTTACTTGGAGATGAATATACCGGACCTTAAAGAATTTAAAAGTTGTACTGAAAACAACACGAATGTTTCTATGGCAAAATTATCACTATACGTCGAAACAACTCGTATTTATTAACGCCCCAACCAGCCCCAACACACATCAACGTCGTATTAAACATTTTTAAACGATTTATGAGTGAAAAAATAAAGGGAAGAATTCAACTTCACTTTTAAGGTTACCAAACATTACACAAAATCGTTTCTAAAAATCTTTTACCTATGATGTATGGAAGAAATAATGGTGAATTAAAAGATCACATCAATTATTGTACGGAGAGAATTTTAGAATCTTCAGAATGGTTTAAATTAGATTAAAAAACTTTTTTAGGTTATGTTTACATTAACCATCAAATTTAAGTCGGTAATGTAGATATTCAAACTGTCAAAAATTAAGTCACAAATAAAAATAAAGTTGTAAAATATAAAATAATTTTTGTAATTTACTTTTATAACGCGTAATAATTAAGTGTAAAAGAATCTGTCGTTATAAAGGATAAAGATTTCGTTAAATTTCCGGGTAAAATTAAATTAAAACCATAAAAACCACATCCTGACGGTTGACGCCCAAGAATCACTTCTTACATTTTTTTTTAACTTCCAACTTTAAAGTTTTATATTTTTCGTTAAAATGGAAGATATATTTCATTGGTGCCGAGAAGGTAATGCTATGCAAGTAAGGGTTTGGTTAGACGACACAGAACATGACATGAATCAAGGGTAAGTCTAAAAGAGAGGTTATGTTTAAAAGGAAAACTTAACACTTCCTTATAAGGAGATTAAAACTAATCGTTTTAATTCTTTGTATTAAATTGTAATTAATTAACTAAAATCTAATTGATTTAATTTGTTGTCAGAGATGACCATGGTTTTAGTCCATTACATTGGGCAGCTAAAAAAGGCAGTAACAAAATCGTCGAAATGCTTTTATTACGAGGAGCTAGAGTAAATGCTACAAATAGAGGAGATGATACCCCTTTACATTTAGCAGCAGCTCACGGACACAGAGACATTATTAATATGGTACGTTTCAAATCACTAAAAAAATAAATAATTAAATAATCTTATTTTTAGTTGTTGCGTCAAAAAGCAGATGTTAACTTCACTAACGAACACGGCAACTCACCACTTCATTACGCTTGTTTTTGGGGTTATAATGATATCGCTGAAGATTTGGTTCATCACGGAGCGATCGTTTCAATAGTAAATAAGTTTGGAGATACCCCTCTCGATAGGGCAAAAGGAAATTTAGCAAAACTACTTCATGACATTGCTGTAGAAGCCGGTCAAGATTTGAAAAAAATTAAATTCAAAGACCAAAGTTGGTTGGGCATGAAAACACGATCTCGAGATGCGACTTTATCGCGTTTTAAAGGGATTAATTTCAAAGATTTACGATTTTTAGAGAAAATCGCTTCGACGCCAAGCGGGGAATCTTGGCGAGCTATTTGGCAAAAGAACGATGTTGTCGCGAAGATTTTAAACGTTCGTAATTGTACGGCGAGAATTTCGCGCGATTTTAACGAGGAATTTCCGAAATTACGTATTTTTTCGCATCCGAATATTTTGCCTGTAATTGGTTGTTGTAATTCGCCCCCAAAATTAATTGTAATCAATCAACATATGCAAATTGGGTCGTTATTTCGTGTTTTACACGAAAGCAGTGGTTTGGTTGTGGATACAGCCAAAGCTTTAAAATTTGCAGTTGATATCGCCAAAGGAATGGCATTTCTACATAGTTTAGAAAGAATAATTCCCGAATATTACTTAAACAGTCGTCATGTAATGATCGATGAAGATTTAACGGCACGAATTAACATGGCAGATGCGAAATTTTCGTTTCAAGAGCGTGGTAGGGTTTATTACCCGGCTTGGATGTCCCCTGAGGCGTTACAAAAGAAAATATCTGATCGAAATTGGCAAGCTTCTGATATGTGGAGTTTTGCTGTGTTGCTTTGGGAACTTGCAACGAGGGATGTGCCATTTGCTGATCAATCTCCAATGGAGGTTGGTATGAAAATCGCTTTGGAAGGGTTAAGGATTACTTTGAAACCGGGAATTTCATCTCATTTGGCTAAATTGATTAAAATTTGTATGAATGAGGATCCAGGAAAGCGACCTACGTTTGATATGGTGAATCCAATTTTGGAGAAAATGCTACGTTAACCTTCTAATCATCTACTTAATTAAGTATTAACACACTTATTTATTAATTATTATAACGGTGCCTTTTAAAACTGCCTTTTAATGTTAATAATGATCTTTGTTGAATCTTTAATTTCAATTAAAACGTTTTTTTTTTTTAATAGATTAATAGATGATTGTATAATGACAAATCTAATAATGTAAAATTTTAATTCTGTAATGTATATGAATAAATATATTTTTAATGTTTTATTTGATTGATTTAAAATTTTTGGGGTTATGTTGTATCTCAAGGTTACTAAGGCAACCAATAATGCCTGAATATTTCCTATTTGAATTAATCTAAGAACATCAATTAAGAAATATATCAGAACTTACCTTTAAACACCAATTTCAAGTCCTAAACAATAAATGGAATGTATCATTTCTCCATAAAAAAACTAAAATGAAAAATAAATTAAGTTTATATTAACTAAACTGGGAAAATGAATTTAATTGCAATTATATAATGCAATTTCATTTAACATAGCTAATTATAACAATAATTAGTTTATTAGAACTTACCTGTAAAAAAGAAATAAAAAAAAACTAAACAATAAACAAGGTTATGTTCATATATAACTAAATTAAAACAGCTAAGATAGAACTTATTAAATCAAATACTAATATTGTTAATAATAAGTTGATAAGTGTAATAATTTGGAACGTAACAGATAAAATTATTTGTAGTTATTAATTCTAGTTCTAAATCTTCTAAATAAAATTGATATTCTTATTCGCGCCATCTATTGTTTTTCACAAAACTGCTTTATTATTATAGGAATCTGTAATTAAGTAACCTCTAAATATTTTGCGTTGAGAGGTTATGTTGTGTTTTAAGGAAGATTATTTGGTTTAATTTAACGTGATATGTGTTTATTACACCATATTGTAATTTTCACACATTTTTCCTTGATGTCTTCGGTTCTTATGCGATGTAGCAAAGTAAAACCAACAATTGCTTTTCATCTCTATCATTCTGAGATTATCAAACAATTTTAAAATCCAATCCGAAGTACAGATTTGTCCAATTTTCGATTGGTTCTATGTATTTCTATAACAAACAAAGGTATTTTAAATGGTATGATTAAATACATACATGGTGTTAGATTTATATTTGTTGGGTCACAATGTTTATCGGTTAGTTTTGGCATCAAACTCAATTCCCCTAATGTATTATCCAGTAAATATTCGAAATAAATGTTTAAAATTTGAAGAAGAAGATTACACAATTGTCCAAAGTTGGCAAAATTATCTTTTTTGTCAATACAAGTGATGAATAGAATTAATTCCTAGTAAACCACCTTTTTACATCAAATTTTCATTGTTCACAATACCATTATCACTTCTATTGATAAAATTATGTTATAATGTGTATTTTTTATAGGTATATGAAGAGAAATCGTTTGGAGACAACAAATTTCGTTTTTAATAAATGTTGAAAAATATTGATCTCAAGTACAACCAATTTGATACATAGATGATATATGAATTGACATATGAATATTAAAAAACTCTTAGATGTTAAATTTAACTCCATAGTTCGCTGAATTGGAAATTACCTCAGATTACTTGCTTAAAATAATTATATTTTGTTGCATTGTGAACTATATTTTAAATTAAAAACAATTCAACATTAACTTCTTTGTTGTTTAGATTGGCGAAATGATAAATAAATACAATAATAAATGTTAAAATAAATTATACTAAATATTTTGTATTGTGAGGTTATGTTATCTCGTGAGCTGATTTAATTTATAAAAGGTTGGCAACCTTAAATTTTAGTTCAAAATTTAAAAAAGAAATAATTTCTTTTTTTATAGTAATAATAATTTAAGGTAATAATTTTAATATTTATTTGTTTCTTAACTTTTAAAAATTAAATCGTTAATAAAGAAAAATATATTAATAAAATAATATTTGTATTAATTCGATTGAAGCGACACCTATCTAATCTAACTTAACCTCTTTCAAAATAACCTAATTTTAATTTCGATTATGATTAATTTTACTTGAAGAATTCTGCTAGATAAGTGTTTGGAACTAATACAGAAATTGATATTGGTTTGAAATTTTCGATTCGAATAATACGCAAGCGCGCATTTACAACCCTGTTCATATGCGATCTTGTCACCACCAGTACCAGGGCTATATCAAATGGCCGACAACCCCCTTTTCGTCGCGCCTTTTTTCCGCGACCGTTACGGTTTCGAATAGCCGCCGCGAAAATCGTAAGACGATAATATGCCGGGGTCGCAGTGATGGGTGCTTGGGGTTTCACCCCCGCCTCATTTAATAAAATACACGGATGGAGGCTTCTAGTTCGACACCTTCGAGCCCCCCACCTGTGGTAGCGGCTGACTCTTCTACATTTACAAGGTAAAAATCCACCAAAAAATCATTTATTTATATCATTTTATTTTGGGGTATTTCAAAGATATCCAGATTATTTAAAAATTTATTTATTTTTATAAACCTAAATATAAACAATAATTAATGACATGTAAAATAAATTGAGTTTGTATTGACGGGTAAAAAAGATCGAACCCTTTGAAACACGTTAGAAGGTCGCAGGGCTCTCTCCAGTAGCATAATGACCCAGTTTTCCGGAGTTCTGTTGCACTAAAGCTCGTGCTTTCGTTGCGCGCAGCTCCGACCCGGGAATGAATGTCCAGTTTTCATAGATAATTGATTTCCGTTATAACATGAATTCCGCCAAATGCTTTGTACATAATTTAAATACCTTAACCATTAAAATGAACCATTAAGAAAATAACCCTATTCTATTGAAAATTAATAATGCTTTAAAACAAGTCCAAACACGACCGGTTTATCACGGAGGATAACCAAATAACAAACCGGAAATTAACCTAAAAATCGATATGTCAATGTCAGTTAAACATAAACATATCGTGTTTGGACTTGATTTAAAATAAAAAAAAAGAAATTTGTTATTATTTATTGTTATTGTAACGTATTATTATTATTATTAATATTTTGTGTTTTTTTTAGTGTTGTAAAGCAAGAATCCAGTTCGAATCCGGCAAGTCCTTTAGAAGCAAGCAGTCCCGGTTCAATAGCACTTAAAAGTTCAGGTACACTCAATCAAACTTATAACGTATTACGGAATACAATTCGATCTGTTATAATTGGAAATTTTCTTTCACAAAAACAATGTTGTATCGTTATAGAAAGTTGGCGATTACATAGAACTCTGAGTAATACATAGACAATTTGATCGGTGTTAACCTTTCGGAATATTTCTATCACAGATAGTACATCTTACTGGCAAAATTATTGCCGTATGTACGTGGGTGTGCCTTCTGCGGTCCATTACGTAACCTCCTAAGGCAACGGCAAAACCGAGACTTTCACCGGTTCCACTTAAAAGATACCGCTCACGATTATTGCTCCGGGAAGAAACATTGCTACGAAACGAAATCGTTTTTATTTTATATACTGGTTATTACACCGCGCGAATTGTGGGAAACTAATTCAATTTATTTTAGTTTCAAAATCAAATTTACTAATTGATGTGATTAATTGTGACTTCGAAATTGTGAATGGGGAGCTTTATTGAACTTAAAGAAGTTGATTGACTTTCATTCTTGGAGTGGGAGTTTTTAGAGACGAATCTCCTAACCTTAACTAAATCGTAAAGGTTGATGTAGTCTGAGTAAATGTTTTGGAATGAGTGTAGGTGCCAAGCCTTCTCTTGTCTTTTAATATAGTTATAGAATTAATCTTATTGCTCAACAGCTGATAGAATATGTCATAATTTGTGTTGTGGTTTCCTGCAAATATGAAGTCAATATACTGGGTGTATTTGAAAATCTATTGGAGTGCAATCTACGCAACCCAACCTCTGCCAATCCAAGAGAAACACTCCGAGGGAGCGTTTGCAGACGATGTGGTTTAGATGGCAAACAGCGAAAGTTATCTTGTAAAAAATTTGGAAAATTAGAATAAAACATCAGCAGAATATGGGATAAAAACCAGCTAGGAGAGGAAGAGGAACAAGTTAGCATAAAAATAAAGAATGTAGAGTTGGAACAAGTTAGATTATTTCAATATCTAGGAGTAGTAATGCAGTGTAATGGTAAATGAAATAGGTATTGAGAAAACATTAAAAATTTACCATGCCATAAACATTAATATTTTGGCCAAAGCTAAAATATCACGGAAAAGAAAAATCAACTTTTGGGGCGAGACTAGCGTGTTAACAAGACAACAAAAGAGCCATGATATACTAGTTCATTCCGAATTCTATAATTTTTCAAAAATGAAATACTTAACCAAAATTAATTCTGAAGATCAAACGGTTTTTGCGCAAAATTATCCAGCACTTGTTCTATGCAAAGATGTTGATCGCTGTAGATTGACAGCATAGTCAGTCTAGTGTTGCAGTAGATAATGCAAGTGCACAAAATACTTTTAATGTAGGCCTTCTCTCACTACAAGCTTCCAAATAACGCTTGACGTTTGGTATTTATGTTTTTATAATTATTGTTTAAATGTTTGTACCAGATTTTAATTTTTATGGTTCTTTTGGAATGTCAAGCAGGCATAAATCTTGCAAGGTATCGTACTTATTGTTAAGAAACAATTTGAGGTTGCGAAAACAAACCAACAAAAAAATCCGTCGTCGCTTCGATCAGGTTGAAACTTGCACACATTTTAGATGCGCATATGTACTGCATAGTTGGCTATTATCTTTACCTTAGGTTCAGTGTAACGTGTGCGGTGATAGACGCACAAGTTCCGATCGAAACTTCCTGTCCATCCGCCCCATAGTCCAGACCTGGCTACTTCTGCTTTTCATTTGTCTGGTTATAAGACGACGAATTTCAAGATGAAGCTTGTGCCTCGCTGGAATAATTTCCTTAACATTGGACATATGTTGAAAAATATCTAACAGTTCACGCTTTTGCTTAGTGTATGTTTGATTTCTATATATAAAATAGTCTGCCTGTAATTCACAAATGTACCGGTAATCTTTATTAAAAATTCTTTAAAACAAATCAAAATACGACGATTTTAAGGAATAATACAGATTTATTACATTGATTTCAAATTCATTATATTTTGTAGGGTCACGTTTGCCGTCATCAAGATATTGGAGACTAATTATGAATAAAAGAATGCGGCGAACAATTCAAAGTCCAATACATATTCATACCAAGACAAGAAGATTTTAAAGTCCCGCATATCGAATATCAATCAGACACCAGCGTCATAATTCAATAGAATTAACCCAATATTCTGGCATAATTAGAAGATTTGGACAGTGACATAACTTTTATATTTATTTGTTATGGATAGAACGTTAATATGAACGATTTTAAGAAAGTGCTAAATTTCCAGGACTTTTCGTATTGAATGTTAAAATTCGTACATTATCTTATAAACCTAAGGCCAACTTCATATCATTTAATGTAACTTCTTTAATTTAACCAAGAGATCTAGAACTGATTTTTTATTTAAAAAAGACTCTGCAGTTTCACGTTCCAAGAAAATTGCATTATATCAATGTATCGCAAAACTTGTTAGCACGAGTATATTATGGCTTACTCTAGCGAGAGTTTTATATCAAGACTTGTAGCGACGAAGAAAGTAATAAAGATGAAGATGAAGCTTTGCTTTAAGTGTTTATCCGTTGGAAAATGGTGGTTCTCACAAAATATTACTATTATTATTATGAAAAAGTTTTGGGATTCAAGTTTTTTCGTGAGAAATACCAAAATAATTATAGAATAAGCACCACATTAATTAAAGACAGTTATTATAAGCATTGCGTGGTTAACGCGGTTTCTATCATCATTGTATTGGAATGTTGTAACTAAAATAATGAAAATTTCGTTGGGATCGTTTCAAAAGTACGATTTTTTGTGTAAGTTGAGATATTGAAGTAGGAAGAAGTAGATGAAGAAGAGGTGGAGGAAACGATATCTAAGATAAGGAAGAGGTTGTGGCCGTGAGGCGGGTTTATATAGAGTCGGCGTCCAGACACAATCGTTTTTCTCACGATTTATAATTACCTTAGAGCTCGCGCGCGCATTCGCGCTAATAATGCGCTTCCTAGTGAAGTTGCCGATTCGATAGCCAACAACCGCGGCGCGGCGGCGGCCAGCCACATGAGCGTCGAGATATCCTCTTTTTGCCAACTCCCTGGCAGCTCGCGGAGGGTCAACGTCCTCCTCGGTTATTCCACTCTTCTCAGAGAGACTACGAGTTTTCGATTCCTCCGAACGTTGTGTGCTGGGCGCGTTCGCTTCGCTTTGCTATTTCACCGCGGGAGGTCGAACTCTCTACGTATTTTATATACATACACTCACACACTTATTAGTTACTCGTTTCTTCTAATCTTCAAAAAATTGTTTTATAATAAATTGGTTCCTATGAAGTTTTTTAGTGTTTGGCCCTGGGTTCTTCTTCTTCTAGTCTAGTCTTTGTTGGTTCTCAAGGACATCGGAAGACAAAACGAGTTTTTCTATTACTAGTTTGCTTTAATAAGAAGCGAGCTTAACGCTATGCTGTTAAGTGTCTTATTAGCTTTTTCCTTACGCAACATTTACAAGATTACTCGGATATATTTGAACACGAAATTTATGTTTTTGGTTTATTATAAATTTTGAAAATAAAAGGAAATCTTTCTTTTTATTGATCGAGATGAAAAAGTCGTCTTTGGTTATGGTAAAGAATTTATCGTTCTCCTTGAAACGGTCATCCAACTTTATTATTACGTAACGAAACGATCCCAACAACCAACCAACATAAGAATTATGTTATGATGGGATCGTTTTATTTTTTTTTTATTGGTAGTTGGTGATCTTGGAGTGGCGCGATTGTTGTAAATTTTCCATTTCCGGCAACAAACCGCCCGGTTTCCGCGAAAGCCCTGGTAAAGATGAAACTTGGTCCTCATCGCCGTCGTCTTCGTCGGCTGATCGGATGGTTCCCGATGGAGAAGGAATGGAGTGAATGAACTTTAGAATGGAACCGGTTCCGTTCTCAGAGAGTTACACACGTGCACACGACCGCCTTTCTGTATGCCTCTTCTTCTTCCATCGATAGAAATCCAACGCACCCCATCGTCATATCAAATTGTACCTTTTATTCTTCTACTGGTTTTGAAAAGAATCCTTATGATAATGAGAAGTAATCGATAGTTGGTATGCTTGAGAAGAATCTTTTTGATGATAAGCTTTATTAAGAATTAAAGAGATCATAAAACGATCTAAAAAGAAGGAGTAACAAACGTCCGCACCAAGACCCGTTTTTACGTAATGGTATTTTACGGCATTTGCGGTACTTTTATGTGACGATGCGGTTTCGCTGCTGGTTGGTCGCACTTTCACCACCGTGGAGTCGGAAAGGAAGGAAGGAAAGAAGGAAGACAATAAAATCGATGTCGACCTTGACAATCAACATCAATTTTGGATTATTTTTGACAAAATCAATTAAATTTTTTCAATTGAAGTATATTAGTGTAATAGTAATGAGGTGGTGAAGCTGAAGAAGTCTCCACTTCGGAGATGTTGTTAATAATGTCTGAGTGGAGTTAGAGTGAAGGTGGTGGAGTTGGTTGTGGAGATTGTGGTAGAGCGGTCAATGAACTCGTTTCGCTGGTGCTGCCGGTAGCGTGGCCATTGCGGCCCCTCCTTCTCTTCGCCGAGAGCCGCGGCAGCAGCTCTTACCTGTTGTCCCGGTAGAGACCCGGCGGCGTTAGTATTACCGTGCCGCGTGTACTTCGGTTCCTTTTGGTTCCAAAACGCGAGTGATTAACATATATATATAAAAGACACACGTGGTGCTGGTGAATCTCTCCGAAGGAGGCGTCGCAAATAACTAAAAAATAGGATGACACGATGAAAATATTGACAACTCGTGGATAAACGAAATGGACGTGTTCAAGATTGAACAGCAGACGCAGGTTTTAGGTGGCGCTCCGTCGCCGGACAGGATTAACCCGGAGGTGACCTTCGACGCCGGTTCCGAATTCAATTTGAGCTTCTTCGACGCGACACCCGGTGAAGATAACAGTAGCACGCAGGGTTTTAGTGACCCCGGCTCTGTCGGATCGGCTTCTGCAGGGTCACCACCTCCGTTGGTACCAGGTAGCAACGGCACCAGTACTCCTTTACTTTTGACTTCGACTTCTTCTGGGACTACTTCTGCAGTTGTCGCAGCCGCTACTTCAGTTGCTTCGGCCGTTTCTATTGCACCGACCTCAACCAAACAAGGTTAGTCCTTGCATACCAAGGAAGATTACGTTTAAACACATAAAGGTCCTTATCGATGAATAAAATGAAATTTTCGGAATCGGAATTTTAAATTTTTTTTGACCAAAAATCACATTGCGAAAGGTCAAAGCTGCATCCATATTTTAGATTAGAAGATGGCAATGGCCGTGTTTCGATGTCGTTCATGAATTTTAATCGATTTCTTCTAATTTTAAATAACAAGTTTAGATTTGCAGCAATTTTTTTTTTGATTTTTTTTTGCGACATCTTTTTGTTAGTGTTTTATTTATATTCTTGTTTGCGAAGGCAACGAACTTACGAAAGACGTTTTTTAAGGATCAATTTCCGGCCGGTTTTTTATTGTAATTAATAATAACCGGTTTGTAAGATTCGCCACTTATTCTTCTTCTTCTTCTTGTTGGATTTTCTTATAATCTTTACCCAACATCTAGAAATATATTACGAAATTCCCAACTTTACAGGATGTTAATGATTTAAAAACAACCCAGAAAATTCTTATATTTTTCAATTTTTTGTATTGTTTTTTTTTTTAGAAAGTCGATCCCATCACGATGTTGTATTCCGGCGCGTAGTCAAATGTACCGTTAGTTATTTGTTGTACGGGAGCCATGTGTGTGTATACTCGGCATATTAAACACGTTTTTTATTCCTCTATACTTTTTAATCACAATGTTTGCATTAGAAATAGTCATTTTTGTGTTTGTAATTTGTTTTATTTATTTTTACTTTCTCTTTCTTTCAGGTGAGGACTTACAACGTATATCAGACCTCACTGAAGATGATAAATACGGTAAATATTTTTAATAATTTTATATCTCATCTAACCAAAATATTTGGTTTTGTTTCACTTTTATGAAGATATCTTAAATTAAGGAAGTTACGAGATTTTTTTGTTAATGCAAAATTAATAACTCTAATTTTTTTGGTTCACTGAACCGTTCGGAATAAAATCATTAGTTTTTATGGTATACAAAAACCAGTTTCGCTAACTATGTCTATTAAACATCTATGAGTAAATTATGAATCCATCCCGGGATAATTGCTACGCTTCTTCATACAATGAACTATTCATCCTTTGCAATAGCTTTTGATGCCTTCAACACAATGTTTATTGTATGTAGTTGAGTATGCTATCAAAATGGAGCTGTTTAGTTTAATATGATCATTTAATTCTCCATCGGGTGTAATATTAATGAAAAATATTAGTGAAACTCAATTGGAGTTTGTTAATTAAAGTTCAGCAGTTCTTGGATAGCCATTCTAAACATCCTGCAAATTGAAACAGTGCGTTATGAAATTTGGTTTTATTCATCAACATGTAAATCGTTCAACTTTGACTTTATGAACTTTTATATATCGTAGAAGATCGCCGTTTTATAGGTTTTGTTTTATTTCGTACTTCAAACGCTCGCAATATCTGCACATATCAGTCTTTTTCTCGTAATAAATAAAACCCGCCCTGAAAAGATTACAAAGAGCTTCTCAAAAAATTCCTTGCATGCAACAAAGACTTCTTTTCCTTTGAGTCTCTGTGCATTAAGTACCTATTTACAATTTAAATGATGATATCTTTGTCGAAGTTTTCAAATTTATATCTGACCTTGAATTTTGATTAGTTCGGTTGAAATCTTTGAAAAAAGTTTCATAGCATCATTGTCGGGTAGTTGCCAATTTTCAAGATTAAAGTCTTTAGGATAACTTTTTCAAAATTATTAAAATCATTTTTTTTATATTTATAAATGTTTTCGGCAACGACAACTACAACACTACACACTTCCAGTAAACAACTTTCTGCATTGTTTGACTAAAAACGTGCTTGACTAAACTATGTCTAAGGGGTTTATCTATATTTGAAACAAAACCTGGACTTGTTTCGTTTTTTCTGGACTTACTGCGTTTTCTAAAAAAATGTGCATTGTGTGCGTTAACAAGAACTTAAAAACATGGCAAGCAATTTTAGAAGGCGAATAGAAGATCCTAACAACACCCCAACACTATGATGACACTTAGGGGAAATAATAAAAAAGAAGAAAAACATACAGCTAAATTACGGGGCAGAAAGCATAAAAATAGAAATTTTGGACTTATTGCGTTTTGAAAATAACCTCCTCATATTTGCGTGAATTGGGTAGATTGCTGAGTGACATTTTTGAGAACCTTTTCACCTTTTTGGAGGTGAAGAGGTTGATTTCACTTCTTTGATTGAGCTGTCCAAACGTCAATTGGTGGATAACATTTGTAAGAAAACGAAAATATCCAGTAGAATGCCGGTTTTCTCCAAATTATGACGATTCCTTCTGAATGTTTCTGTCATGTATAATTACCCAATAAAAGTCTTTAGCTCGATGGTGCCAAAACGGCACAAACGATATTTATTTGATTTGTTAGGTAACACAAAAAAATTCATCTCATCGTATTCTAATAGGGATTTGCGTAAACTTTAAACCAATGTCGTTTGTACTGTTATAGATGCAGAATTAAAAATCCTGTTCAATAGTGTAGCTAAATAAAAAGTGACTATTTTAGCGTTTATGCTGTTTTGGCTTATCAGCGTCGATATGTAACTGTAGGGCCTAAGTCTAATTATGTCTGTCAACAATCAACCGCAGTTTGAGCATTCTTAGCCTTTCCATCTCGTTCCAAGATGTTGAGTCACAACATTGTGAAATCGCCTTTTAACGGTCTAGAAACTAGGTAGGTTAACTCTTACTGGTGCAGTGGTACAAAAAATAAACCACCTAAATTTTCACCCAACTGACGCACTGGTCTATAATGTAGACCACCAATTCAAAATTATTTTCCTACTTTCGCAGCCGCAAATTGATATTTATTCCAGTGAAAATGATTCAGATGACAAGAAACCTTTATCTGTACTTCAAGCAAGAATTAAAAAAAAATTAACTACAGTTATCAATAAAATAACCAGCTCAAATCCGACACCATATTCTCTGTTTCAACTATTTTTAGGTTTTTCAGGCAAACTTGAAGAACAAATGCGTACTAGAAAACATTACAGGAGAACGATGTGCGGAGAAATAAATGCCTTTTTACGAATCAATTTACTTATGGGGATCAAGCATTGGCCAAGTTACATTAGGCCACATTAGCTCTCTTATGACGCAAAAAAGATTTGGTTGGCTATTAGGACACTTGCATATCAATCATTACTCTGCTATGCCTAATAGTGATTCGGAATATTTTGATCGTCTTTATAAAGTATGGCCGTTGTTAGATCATTTAAAAAAAGCTTTTAAGTATTGTCTTTTATCAAGTAAAGTATTAGCCTTGGACGAGTCGATGATCAAATTTAAAGGTAGAAGTTAAGAAACTTCTGCGATAAGTCGGGATGCTGTTTGAAATTCGATATTTATGTTGAAAAATCCCAGGATTAACTTATGGGACAGAGCCTAGGTTATAGGGTTGTGTACAAGTTTACTGAGGGTCTTGAACAAAAAAAACCATACAATATATTTGATAATTTTTTTAACAATGTGGAACTAAGTGAATGTGTCTAGAAAGTATTTACCTAATATTAAAATGGACAAGCAGCTACAAAGAGGTGAATTCGACTGGTACACAAATGATACAAAACAATTTGCATTAAAATGGAAAGATAAAATGTACGTACAGCTTTTATCAAATTACCACAATTCTGAAGATTGCACGAAAGGTAGTAGAAGAGAAGAACTAACACTAGACCTAGAATTAGAAACGTTCGGGTTTAGCCGTGCGTCTCTTAAGATGGCTAAACTTGAATGTTGTAGCACCAAGACAAAACCACTGCGCACTTAAAGAATATATTTTTGTTTTTGTCAAGATTATTGTTTTTTGTAGAATTTACATACTCGTATGTCCAAAATAAATCAAAACAGATATAGGATATTTTATTTTTATGCAAATGGAGCGGTGGTACAAAAAGTGGATCTTCAATTTTTTTAAAACTCTATATGCTTTAATGAAATATCATATGATTTCAACCTATATATGACAATACAAAATCGTTTACTTAAAGAATCTAAAAAAATCAAACTTTGCTCCAGTTGCGGTGTTAAACACTTACTCCAGTAAAAGTTAAGACAAGGCATTGGCTTCTACACTTCTTTGGAGTGGAAGGGAAGCGAAACCATTCTAGCTGATATTTAGACTTGATTCATCTTCAGACGCTGGTGTCTTATTTGATTAAAATGTATACAAAGTTTGAGCATAACTGAACAATTATTTCAAAAGAAAAACTCAATTAAAGTTTTTATAACTTTCTACTCCTAGATCATAAAGGGGCCTTCCAGGTCGTACATAGTCTGCAAGGTTCTTTCATATCTGTGTTATTCTCTTTGTTTGTCCTTTAAAATACTCTACTCGGCTAATCTGAATTTCGTTTCGGCTATGCGCTATCAGTTCTGCTTGTTAGTAAATTTTTTTCTCCCAAAAAGGTGATGAGTAATCTTGGAGTAAATCCGTCGTTAAAGATTATCGCAGCCAGAGGAGTTGCAAATTTGATTGTTATCGCTGTGTAAAGTTTCGGAGTGAAATTCCAAATTAGCGAATTAAACGATTCATTATTATTTTGCGATTCTATACCCAAACAGCAGCAGCTGTCTCAGCTTTGCGGATAGTTATGATGTTGTGGAAAGCAATTTTTATGTTAGTACCCTATACAAATTGCCTTGTTAATATTTTTTATAGACTTGGAACGCCTTTGGATAGCCAAATCTCAAGTCAATTTTCTTTTTGTTTAGTTCATTTCTCTTTTTATTCCATACATTACATACCCGACAGAAACTATTCCTACTTTTTATTACGGTATCAAGCACTTTTCTTGAATATTTTCTGGATGATCCCGGAGCAGCCGTTCTGTTGAGAATATCGTGGATGTGGTTGAAGATTCTGGAGTATCGACCAGACGACTTTCTCCTTCCAAAAGGATGGAGCAACGGCGCATACTGTACGATCCACAACCGAAATTCTTAATGCTGCATTTCCATGTCGCCTTATCTCTGGTTTTGGCGATTTGCACTGGTCGGCAAGATCGCCCGATTTAATCGTTCCCGCCCTCAAAGAGAATATCCGTCAGAATGCGAGAATCTATCGCCGGAAGCTCTGTCAAGAGTGATGGAAAATGCCATAAATCGGACCCGTATGGTCATCAATTATGTATGGCCGCTTAGGCAATATCATTTTCTCAACTTAATGAAAAAAAATTTAAGACATCAAATAAACATAATTCAAAAGCAGAACCAAAACCTTTCTGCTACAAATATTATCACGTTTATTAGTAGCTCCATATATTTATTACCTATTAAATTGTAGATGTAAGAATTTTCAATGTTTCTATTTGTTTTGTTCTTGTTGGGGAATACACAGCATCCAATCAATTTCCAAGTGTTTTGGAGCTTATTGAGATGATACTGACAAATGTTTTACCACCGAGCCATTTTATGTCGAGTCTTATCTGATTGTAAAAGGTAATTAGGTTAAATCTGGCGAATAGGGTATAGGAAGAAGTAACTGGAACTTAAACGCAATGATTTTTGCCATCGCAATCTATAAAAAAGATGAAGTCTTTCAAAAAGATTGATTCTATCATCTTGGAAGCAGGTGAAACTTCGTTTGTCGTCTTTAAAGTCAATTCTCCGCTTTTAGTCCATTGATATGATGATTCCTTTATCATTGGTATGAATTGACGCAATACTTTATTGTTGTGAACGATATTCTTCCTGTTTTGTTGCATCATCGATCTTAAGCGCAGCTTCCTCATACTCAAATTTTCAGTAACTATATGATATAAAACAT